AAAAAAAAAAAAATGTTGTTACTGATGTCTCCTTATGTCTATACCAGACTGATCTTGAGAAGATAACGACGCTTATATTGATTAAATTTTGTAGCAGAGACTTAAACAAATTCGGGTGTAAGAGGTTTTTGTCTTGTAATTAAGCGAGCAAATCAAAGAACAAAATTCTCACGTACAGTTAAGTTCTATGCGACATGTCGTTTACTTGGCACCAGAAGGAGCAGTAGTACATGCATACTGTTTACGTCGTATATAAAGTATTAAAACACATTATACAAGAGGTTACATGTATTTCCACGCTTAAAAACATCGTTTAATCTGACCATAGATTTCAAAACACTTACTTTCCACTCTTAATTTTTTTAGTATATCTTATAAAGTTAACTGCCATATATTCAATAACTATAATATATTAGTTATCAATATTTAACTCAAGTAGTGATTCTTCTACCAAACCAAACTCAAGTAGTGATTCAAATACATTATACTAAATAGTATTCACTTCTTGAAGAGCGATAATAAAAATGAGGACAAATTGTTTTGGGCATATGTTACAATTTTACGTTGTCCAACACCATTTCTATGATATAGCTCCGCCCCAGAAGTAAATCATTCCTATAATTATATTCTCTAGTAAGATTTAAGGTTATATATATATATATATATTCAGTAAGTAGTCCAGAATTCAGCAGAGAGCTTGATAATGAGTCTCGGTTTTAAGATATGCTTATATTAATCCTTATATCTCACGTAGAACTTAGAATCAAAAACTTTTCTTTCAGACGAGCCTTCTTCCGTAGATGGACACAAAAACTATATTTTCATTTACTTTTATTCTTTCGTATTAAGATTCAGATTTAAAGGGAAAGAAAGTTTTTAGATATTGTTATTTTAAAGATACATTGAAGGGATTGATCCAATCCAAATGAAAAAAAAGGTAAAACGACAACATAACTGCAAACTTGGCCTAACGATTATTCTACACCACCTAGAAATTGAGGTCTTACATTTAAATTCCTCCGCGCCAAGTTCCTCTCTTTTTTGGACAAAAAAAAAGAGTGAGAGAAATCAGTCTTTACTCAACTGAACATTTTAAGGGAATAACTGACGGCTCAATTTATTAAAGTTCATTGATTTGACTCCCATCTTCCACGAAACACATATGAAAGGCTTACTTAATATTTACTACATTATTAAGAGAGAATAAATTTCTCCCTTAATATTTGTGAAACATTCCGCATATGAGAAACGTGTACGAGTGTACAAAACATGTACAAAACACATATGAAAGGCTTACTTAATCTTTTACTACATTATTAAGAGAGAAAGTTTCTCCCTTAGTATTTGTGAAACATTCCGCACGAGACGTGTGTGAGTGTACGAAACGTTTCACAGCCGTTCATAAAGTGCAACTCTTTATTTATTTTTTTTTTTTTATAAACCTTTTAGACTTTTTTTTTTCTTTCTTTTTGGACCTTTTTCTTCCAACCTTTCGCTTTAGAATTTTTTTTATAAACCTTTTAGACTTTTTTTTTCTTTCTTTTTGGACCTTTTTCTTCCAACCTTTCGCTTTAGATTTTTTCTTTTTTGTCCTTTTTCCCTTCTTTATCTTTTTATAACCGTTATTTTAAATGAGTTACACGCGTTGAGTGTATGCATAGATAATTTGTATTTGTAACCAACAAATAGCCGATTTTGGTTTTGTCCCCACTAGCTTACGCCTTACACTTGCATGGAATTCCCACCCTCCACGATTTACACGAGTGAGTCATTTTCAAGGATTCCAAAATACATTTATAACATGAAAAAGACACAATTTTCCCCACAAATTCAAGAGAGCTCTGTTAGAGCATTCTTGAATTTTTATGCACGTAAAACATATATGATACGATTACGATACAACAAACAAACAAGAGAACAAAACTCACATAATAAGCAAAAAAGAAACACGAGTTCTTAACCACTCAAAAAAAGAGCTTAAAAGATTCACCGAAAACATCCTTCGTTTGCTTTCGATTAGTCGAAGCCAATTTTGAAATGATGATCAAGTGGAGAAGAAGTGGTGATAAGACTGAGAGCGTAGCTTGGGCCGCGTGGTTCAGTTAGAATCCAACACTTGTCCCGAGGAGGTGGGCCCATCTTAGACCCCATTTGCATTCAACTGCTTGTTATTTTGATTGGGCTTTGAAAGGCCCATCTCTATCGATTCTTCTGGAGTGGGCTTCTTGGACCCTCTGTCCCGGTAAATGAAGTACAAAACAAGCTGTGTTGCTCCAAGGCCACAGCCGAAACCGTTTGGCACCTGCAAAACATCACCAATATCAAAACCGAAAATAGTAGAAAATAGGCTGAAAAATTTAAGGAATATAAATTAATTTTTAATTATAAAAATTAATAGATCATAATTTATTAAGTTATAGTGCATAATTAGATAAATTATGAACAAACTTATCAAGTTATAGTTCATAATTAGACAAATTATGGATAAAAACCGTAATTTATGGATAATAACTTATCAAGTTATCTTCATAACCAGACAAGTTATGAACAAAAACAGTAATTTTAGCTATTTATTAATTTAAATAAACTATTAGTCTATTAATTTTAATTTATTTCCTATTTTCCTCTTTTTCCCACTCAAAACATTAAAATAACATCTGTATCTTTTTCTTTTATTTTGATGTCAACTTTTTGTTAAATTTAGAGTTCAAAAAGCGTAAAAATGGGAAAAAAAAACCATGAGACTAGCTAGAAACTTCGGTATTAACGCGAAAGAACACAACAAATAATAATTATTATTGTTCTTTTTGCTCAGAGACCAATTATTATGTATATTTTGCCGCTAAAAAAAGTAACAGTAAAAATTCCATAAAAGATTGAGACAAACAGAGAGGGCACTTACTATAATGAAAGGGTCACGGCCAAGCAGGCCAAAGATGAACCAGGAAGTACCACACAAAAAGACAAACAAAGACAAGAAAAAAGGCATGAATTCCACGCTTTTCGTCTTAATCACCGTTCTCTGCGCCAAACAAACAAAAAAAAAAAAAAAAAAAACATATTTTCATCAAATTCCAATTTTCCAAACCGCAAAAAATAAAAAAAATAAAAAAAAATAAAAACGTTAATAATTTTAAATAATTATTAAAAAAAGCAACTCAATTAAATATTATTACCATGATTGATAGAGGCGAGGCGTACATGACGATGGAGAAAATAGTGGCGGCGAGGCCACACAAGAGTTTTCTCCCTTTGCCATGCAAGGCGAAAAGTGAGACCAAAGCCACAATTGCGAAAACAGTGATAACGAAAGCAAAGAGGCCTGATATTTTGAGTTTCTCTCTCTTCGGAGAATATATGATGAACACCAACACGTATACCGTCTCGATCACTGCTCCTGTGCCGTTGATCGTTGATACCAATATGTTGTTTGGGGACACGAACGGCAGTCCATACCTGTACGTTTATTAACTCATCATTTTTGTTTTGTTTTGTTTTTTCTAAAAAGGATAAATTAAAGAACTAAAACAAAAAAGGATTATATATCTTGTTCTTGTTCCGAACACCCATAAGAACTTCACGTATCAAATATGAGACTCTACTAGAATTCTACTAATTTATGAAACTCTTTTTTATAAAGTCTGCAAAAATATCATTTATGTTTCTGGGAATTGGAGAATTCACTAGAAATTTGAACGAGGAAACAAAAATAAAATCAAGAGGAGAAGCATACCAAGCGGAGAGGAGGCAATTGAGCAAAGTCATGACGTACGGAATGCCTGAGAATTGTTCTGTGGACTTCTTCGTTACGATTCTCTTAAAAGTAATCCTACACCAAAAAAGGAAATTAAAAAAAAAAATAAGTAGCTTTAGCATTAAATTTAAAGAACGTAGAAAAATAGTTATTGTTATTGGTTTAGGATTATATCCAATACCAGATTTAAGGGATAATCATAAATCTCCACTTTAGGGGATTAATTGGTAGAAAAAAGGACACAACAAGAACGCTTTTTTTGGGTTCATGAGAAACCCATCTCCAAAATCTACCGAACTAAGAAAAAATCTCGTGATTCATGTGAGAGAGAGAGAGAGAGAGGAAAGAAGAGAGAGAAAGCTTTTTTACGTTGGTGCCAAGAAGAGAAACAGAGCAAAAACATTCCCTGCATCACAAAAGAGAGAAGAAAAAGGCCATTAGAACAAGATTGGAAAATTTTTACTTAGAACAAGAAAATAAAAAGACTACAGAAACCCAAGAAGCAGAGCTTGGAAAAGAACCCACCAAAGACTCCGAAGACGAAATGCAGAACATCCATTGAGTAAAAACTCTTTCAATTTTACCAAGAAAGATGAGAAGAACCCAGATGAGGAAAACACAAAATCCTCAGAAGAAAAAATGGAAAACAAAAACAAAAAACTTGATGAAACAAGTGTCTGAAGAACTTCAGGTCTGTTCTTCACAACTGACAAATGGGGTTTGGTAGGAAGGCAATTAGTGGGGTTTTATAGAGAGAAATCAGAAAAGTAACAAAATGAGAAGAGTTGAAATTCTGAAGGTAAAATAATTTGTATATTTTTGTAATATAACGTCAGTAAATACTGAAAATTGGGCTTATCCGTATGCTTGGGAAAGGAGAAGTGTCTGCTTCTCATACTGTCCTGAAGCTGAGCTCTGCCAACTTTTGATGTCAATGCCCGTAGCCCCCATACGTCACTTTTTGACGTTTAAAACTGAAAAATATGCTTTTAGGCCCTTAGAGAAGTGATAAATTGCATAGTGGTCCCAAAGTTTAGTTCTGCTCAATTTTAACGATTTGCCTCCTGAACTTATACAATTTTAACAATTTGCTTGTTTAAAGTTTAATTTTGACAAATTGCTGATCACAATATACTTATGCCTGGTTCACTTCGCAGTTTTGAGTTTTTAATTTGAGTTGAGATGTGATATTTTTTAAGAACTTTTTACTATAGTAAAAAAAGTTAGATGTGACATTTTTTAAAAAATTTTTACTGTAAAAATCTAAAATTAAAAACTCAAATCAGTGAAATGAATGAAGCCTTAATTTTAAAGATGATTGTGTTAAATTAGTATTGAGAAAAACACATGCGACAAAAACTTCTTACATCCCACTTCAAATGTAAAGCGACCAGAAATTTTAAATCATTTTATTGAATTTGTGTGCTATACATTTAATATTGATTTGACGCAGTGTTCTTAAAGACAGGTTACACAGGTAAATGGTATGTGTTCCCTACTGCTCAGGTAATTTGAAGAAAATTAATGACCGATTTGGTAACCTTTTTAAAATAATTTTATTTTTAATATAAAAATAAAAATGACATTGTTTTAAAAATTATTTTAAGATTAATTTTAAAATTGTATTTAATTAATTTTTTAAAAGATTATTTTAAGTATAATAAAAAAATAAAATTGTGTTTAATTATAATGATTAATTAATATATTATAACATTATTGATAAATACTATAAAATAAAAATAAAAAAAATAATTTTTAATTAATTTTTAATTCTTTTATAAAAATTATTTTTACTGTTTTTCATTTTTATTTTATAAGATTTATTAAATAAATACAATTTACAGATCGTCTTTATTTTTATATCTTAAAAAATGTGTAAAAATATTTAAAAAATAATTAAAAATTAACTCCAAACGCACTTAATATTTTTCTTATTAACTGGGACTCCTACAATAAAATAACTGGTCACTAACTCAAATATGCAACGAAATTATTATTATCTGTCACTCGCAATATTATATATATTACTGTAAGTCCGTAACTTCATAACAAGGCCAGTCTAAAAGCATTTACCATTTGTGAATATCTTTGCAGTTTGCACGAACAACTCGCTAGTTCAAATATTATTCAGGATGTTTGGTTGGAGGATTTAAATCATGTGATTTGAATTATTTTTTATTTACATATATTTTTTGTGAGAGAAAATAGTATAACAAATCATGAATCATAATTCAAATCAGGAAACGAATCCATCTACTAAACATCCTCTTATTCTTATCCATTGATAAACGCAGCTCAAGAAGAATAAGAAAAAGGAAAAAAACTAGAAAAAAATAATAATTTTACGACATTCGGAGTTACATAAATGTCGGTGATAACTTGCAAATGAAATTTGTGAAAATCTTTGCAGTTTGCACGAACAACTCGCTAGTTCAAATATTATTCAGGAGGTTTGGTTGGAGGATTTAAACCATGTGATTTGAATTATTTTTTATTTACATATATTTTTTGTGAGAGAAAATACTATAACAAATCATGAATCATAATTCAAATCAAGAAACGAATCCATCTACTAAACATCCTCTTATTCTTATCCATTGATAAACGCAGCTCAAGAAGAATAAGAAAAAGGAAAAAAACTAGAAAAAAATAATAATTTTACGACATTCGGAGTTACATAAATGTCGGTGATAACTTGCAAATGAATCATTGGCTAAGGAATGTAAAGAAATTGTACTTTTAGAAATTGAAGTACTTGCCCAGGAATATCTCTATTTATTATAGGGAGTTTTTTTTGGCACTTGAGGTATGGATAGATTAAATTTACGTATTTTTTAAATTTTATATGAATTTATAAACATAAAATCTGGCCTATTAATATATTAGTGTACCAAAAAATGTCAAAGTAAAAATGATATTAAACAATGAAGTATAATGTAAATGTAATTAAATAGATTTGTCTTCTCTCTGGCCACTTAATGAAAGTTGTATAGTCTCGTTCATTTTACCGATTCGAGTTTTGTTACAGTAAAAAGCTCTAAAAAACAGTCACATCTGACTTTTTTGTTACAGTAAAAGCTTTCACATAAAATCACATCTCAACTCGAATTAACGAATTAAACATGCCCTAATATCCACGAACTTCGCATGCAAGCCATGAATTTGACATGTCGTACCCAACTCAATGCCACAGTTATTAACAAGCATAATAATGTGAATGATAAAAGTCAAAGTATTTCTCTTTCCACAACTGAAGTTTTATTGTTACAATATTTTTTTTATAAAAATTTAAATTTAAATTTTTTATTATAAGATTTTTCTCTCACATATATAAACAACTAGTTCTCAACTTGAATTGTAAATTGTCTTTTTTCTCCCTTTAATTTGTGTTTTAGGCTAAACTTAGTGCTAATATGTAATGATCGGTGTGTTTTACGTTCCTTAAATCTTGTAAGAAACTTTTTCATAATAAAATGGAGAACAACAAGTGGTAATTATTTTAAATATTTGTCCTGAAAACATGCATGTTCTTCGTCTGAAAGAAAGCCAAGGAACAAACAATCCATTTCCTTTTTTATTTTATTTTTATTTTTGAATTTAGAGTGGATATGAACTTTGGTGTCTTTTTTTTATCCTCAATAATTAAATAAAAAAAAAGGAACTAACCATATATATTATGCACTAAGCAAACATGACCTCTTCTCGCTTCTGCCTCGTTATCACACGCAACAAGTAATTATTATTAAGCTGAGAGCATATTGCTGGTAGTAACCGATGTCCTTTTCTTCACATCAAGGAAATCAGTTTCTTTCAAGCATTACATATAGCTATATGCATGCCACCAACACTCATGAACTCATAATTTTTTAAAAAATATATTATCAATTAAGACTTCTAAAAACAACTATTACGTAATTAAAACTCTTCTTTCATCTATTAATCTGCCTTCATCATCTTTTCTAGTACAAATATTATCACTCTCCTCTAAGTTGTTGTCTATATTTAAATTAGGCAATCCTTGTATAGATGTTTGATGCTCATGAATCAACATTCCATCCTCATCATCTTCCGAGGTTTTGTCTATTTCGCCTCTGATACCATGATGACTAGGCCAGATGTTCTGACATAGTTTACCATATTTAACACTATTATTGCTTACAACACAATCATGTAAGAACACAAGAACTCGAAATCCAACATAATGCAAGCTCCCATATTTCTTTGATAACTCCTAATTAATTAGAAGGACTTTTGCCCTTTAAACCTGCATTGTTTGTGCGGTTCTCTCACTTCCGTGTTCTCTAGTGTTAAAGCGAGTACTATAATTAACATACCAATCATATTGTATAACATCTAACTAGTTTATGGACATTTTCTCTCGAACGTCATAACATGTCATATACGTTATTTTAGTCCATTTTGTTTACTCTCTACTCTTCAAAGCACAAACCAATAAAACATAAATAAATTTCAAGTACAATCATTATGGATGTATAGCTTCTTTACATCTTATCTGTAATATTTAAAACAAAAAATAATTTAAAAAATAAAAAATCAAGTTAAAAAGTACAAATTTTATAGATAGTTTTTTTTTTTTTTTTTTTAATATATTACTCGCCGGCAAAACCAGTCAATAGAAGTGTAGTGGTGTGTGTCTTCAGTCTTGTACCCATTTTAATCTCTTTATAGCCAATCAATATGTTTTCGACATACATTTTGGTCTATTTATATCAATATTTATAATAAAAATATGTAATTGTTTTCAACAAAAAAAAAAAATCAAACTTTGCTTACTCAATTAAAGGTTGGACTTCGTTGGAAGTAAACTCCCTATTTGCTGATGAACCGACTCCTAAGTCAGTCAACATCAGCCAAAACATGAAACTCCCGAAAAGAAATCTCAAACCCTCCAATCCAAACAAAAGGAACGAATCTCATTCATTCATTTGAACAAGTATTTTTCTGCTCATAGAGATCAAATAAGGATCAAATAATGGAACTAGCACTCGATATTGAAGACAAATCTTTCACAAGATTTGGAAACCTTGAGCAGCAAGAGGATCCCTATGGAAAGGGGTCATTGCCACGAACCAAAACATCATTCTCAGAATTTAATACACCAAAAAAATTTGCAATTTCAGTCTCTTTATTTAATTTTTAGACTTTATTTTCTCGTTCATATCCACATCCGGTGATTCGATCATTGATCCTTAAACAAATCTAACTGTATATTTGGAATTTGTAATTTTTTCTCTCCATATAGTGTCTCGAATTTTAAAAAATTACAAATTAATTGTCATCACCTAGCATGTTGACATTTACACTACAAATAAAAAAGATGAAAATTTATAAAAACAAGATACATATCAATATTCAGTAAACATATTTGTCATTCCATCCTTAGATAAACAACCTAGGTCCAGCTAGATAGCTAGTAGGCAGCCTAGCACACCATCCCTACAAATTTTCCACCGCGAGATATTTTTGTACAGTAGGCAATTTACCTGAGAGAGAGAATTCACCTTGAAAGCAACTGATCAGAAAGAGAGATAGAATTCACCTTGAAAGCAACTGATCCGAGAGAGAGAGAGAGAGAGAGAGAGAGAGAGAGAGAGAGAGAGA